AGAGAGAGAGAGAGAGAGAATTTTTAATATTTATTTTTTAGTTCTCGGTGGACACAACATCTTTGTATGTGGTGCTGAGGATCGAACCCGGGCTGCACGCATGCCGGGCGAGCACGCTACCACTTGAGCCACATCCCCAGCAGGATTTTCCTGAAAATAAATACCACATTTACATGTCATGAAATAAAATGTTGCAAATAAGTTATCTGCTTTTCCAAAGTAACTGTGAATATTTTATTTTTTATTCTTTCAGATAATTAAAATATTGCCCTAAATAAACACATTAGCAGTAAATGGGATAATGTGAGACTTTTCAGTGTCCTGCCCACCCATGTGTTCTCACCCAAGGTCTGGCTTTGTTAATACTCCTACTCAGTGGCAGTAAAGACCCAAGCACCAAATCCAGTCCTCTGAGCCTGACCCATCATGACTATTTTCCTGTGACCTTTACTATGAGCTTGTACTTTGATTCTAGTAATTGTCCTCTAATCTTCTTCCTCAGATGCAGATTCTTCCTATTATCTTAATTCTGAAATCTTAACACCTATCTTCATAATATACCTATTTTTATTTCTAGTTGGTCCTAATATCTAAATCCCATCCCTTGAATTCCACAAATGTGAATGTTCAATAAACATTAAGGGATATTCTAATTAACAGTTCTTCTTTGGATTTCCAAATATCACATGAAAAAAACCTTTTTTGGTGATGAGATGTGCATTGTCTTATTAAACCTATGCTCTTGTGGGTCTATGTAAATGAGCATTCGCGGTGTTTTCTTGTAAGAAGGTAAGAATCAGAAGTTGAGTTACATTAATAGTTTAAAAGTCTTAAGAATTTAAACTTATCCAGAATTCAAAAACTGAGTTATGGAGCATTGTATATTAGAGATGGGTTTTATAATTCCAGAGAGAGAGATAGAAACTTGGAGTTAGAAACTAGGAGTGTGAAATGCTTAAAGCCAGAAAGTTTTTGAGGTTCAATACAAAGAATACATTTTAAGGTTTATCCATATTCCATGATTTTTTCCACTTTTAGGAGAAGCAAAATTTTAAGAAGTTGTTGGAAGAGAATTATATACACAAGAAGAAAAGCAAGACATCTAGAAATATAAATATAGCTCCTAGCTAAGAAAATTTGCATAAGATAAAAATCAAGGTTAATTATTTACATATATTTACATATTAACAAATTATATCTTTTAGTTGTCAATTAATTGTGATAAGATAATAAAAAAAAATATGTTGTCACTTTGACTGGACAAGAGGACAGCTTCCCCTGAAGTTCCAGAACTTGTAAAACAGAGGGAACTGCAGAGAACAATTCCTCCAGAAACCATTTCCTATATAAAGCCCCAACCTTCTGGAAAGGTTTCTCAATTTTTCCTGGGCCTATTTTGAATGAAATCAATGAGGTCCTTCATTTTGGATTTAGTAGATTAGCAGCAAAGTGAAAAGACCAGAGAATACCCTCCTGCTCTACCATTGTGTCTGTTTCTGAAACAGGTAAATATCAATCTTCCCGCCACATGTTCTGTTATTAACTTAATTGCATCTGGATCTGTTTGCACAGACCCAGATGAAATCTGCCGCTTCAGAGAGCAGAGTGCTAGTGGCACATGTGACACTTTCTAAATTTTCTGATATAAATTATATGTGGTTATTTACTGTCTTCTCTCACTTCAAGTTTTTCTAAACAATATTCACTCCTTTTTTTTTTTTTTCAAATCTCCCCTACTCTGAATTTTATTTGCTGGCGACAGCAGTCACACAGTCATTTAGACCATAAATCTCAGGGTTATCTTTTATCCTTCTCCCTTAGTAACTTTAAGATTTCAAACAAGTCATTTTGTCTTGTTGAATTCAATTATCTCATATTCATCAAATATAGTATACTTCACCTATGTCCATCTTCTTTAGTTAATTTTTTCATTAACTGACACACCATGATTTGTCTTCCCAATTACTTTCCCTTGTTTTTTTTTTTTTTGTTTTTCATTGTTGTTTTGTTTCGTTTTGTTTGTTTTGTTTTTAAATTCCACACAAAATCCATTTTCTCACATCATCATAGTCATGTTTCCAACATTACATATTAGGTTACTTAAAACCTTACCATTAAGGACCCTGGGGCTACGGCTGAGCAGTAGAGCACTTACCTGGCATGTGTGAGGCACTGGGTTCGATTCTCAGCATTACATATAAATAAAAAAAATAAAGATCTATCAACAACTTAAAAATGTTAAAACAATAACAACAATAAAAACAAAAACAACCTTACCAGTAAAACAATCTTATAATAGCTCTTAGATCGCTTTCTATGACTTTAAATCTACTCTACACTTGGACTTAATTGCACTTTCTCTTGTCTGGTGGGTAAATTTCTACTTATCTTTTTAATGTGTGCCAAACACCGAACAACTGTAATAACTTTTCTCTTTATTTTAAAAAGTTACACAATATTTTCTTTCCAATATTCTTTTATCTTGGAAATAGTTTAATGATTACAAATAGTAGTCTCTTGTTAACTAGTCATTTACAAACTCTACATAATGAAGAGTTTATATCTTAATGAACCTCATGTTTCTGGACTTTACATGAAATACAGTTTAAATCTTAATGGACTTTATATTTCTGTTGTGTCAGCTCACATCTTGGAATAACAAAAGCAATTAATCAGCCTGTGATTTTGGTATTAAATGAAACATATTTAGATGTTGTAATATCACATTACAATAGTTTAAAGGTGCCTTTGGCTTATAAGATCAGTTTTTCTTCTGTCTACAAATTAACTTTTCTCAAAAAGTCCATTCTTGCTCACTTGGAACAATATAATCAAGTTTTTAAATTGATTATATGAATTTAATTGCGAGTAACTTGAGTTTTTAGTTTGTTTGTTTGTTTGTTTGTTTTGGAATAGAAGAAGGTGAAGATATAAGGTGAATCTGATTTGCCTAAATGTGGGTTCATTACTAGGTACCAAGGGAATTATTTTGAAATGTTGACAATAGTATTCCACAACAACATGTTTCATGATAGATGCAAGTCAAGAACCTATTTCATATTTTCTTCCATTTATACATGAATGTGCTAGCATATACACATGCACACATATACCTACCTACCTACACACACACACACACACACACACACACACACACCATTCTGAATTTTATATAAATTCTTTTAAGAGGCTGTTATTTCAAATTTTGCTTTCTCCCAAGGAATAAGTCAAGTAAATTAAAATAAAAAACACAACAAATTATATGTGCCAAATCCATTTTCAGTCTCTTAAACTGCTCTTAGGGCTTGAGCAAAAAGTTAATTATATTGTCATAAATGATTGTAGCAATTTTTTCCACCAATAAAAATACTCATGTCAACAATTTCAACTTCTTTGATAAAATTTGAGTTTATTTCCTTATCTTAAAATTAAAAGAAGACAAAAAGAAAAACAAACAACTAATTTTCTTTAAATAGATCCTATGTCCAAATGATGTGATCAGGAGAGTGCTCATGAACCTCATTCACTGAATTGTTACTTTTCACTTTGTTACACTTGTATACAACCTACTTAATATATTTTATATTAACTTTGATGTCTAGAAATAACTATATGCCAGACCCACATGCATTGAAGAGTTTCGTACATGGCTTATATTTTACTGTTCCACTCTTAGATTAATAAATGACTATAAGGTATGTATGGGTGAACCTTTTCTGAACCCACTTCACTTCTCTCAGTTGGTAATGCAATTTCCTTGTGAATCAAAACAGACACATTTATCATCAATAACTGTACCTCCTCTGAAAACATCAGCTCCAACCAACTGTATCATGGCCAGTCTCCCAACCTCTAATTCTCCCAGCACAAGTACCTTCTCTCATATAAACATAGACCTTTTGAAATATCAATCCATATATTAATTTGTCAGTATATTCAAACATCTTATTATATTTTATTTCTTTGTTCCTTTGCAACTCACCAACATTGTATCCAACTCTTTTGCTTCTGCACCTGAATTCTTGAACACTATTAGGAAAATGAAAAAAAACATCCAAGTTAGTGCCATTTAAATCATATTTCAATTTTTCTACCTCTAAAATGTGCATAATAAAAATAAATTTTATTTTAATTGTGTTGTTGTAAGGACTATATCAACTGATAAATGTGAAAGGCTTAGTCTTCCACCTGGCACATAGTAATCACCTAATAATTATTAGTTATTATTGTTAGAGAGATTGATCAAATAATGTCTCCCAGTTATGCTTGGAATTCACAACAAATTATTTAAAATCATGGTTATACTATTCAATAGGAGATAGATCTTTATGAACTTCTTTACCTCTTGATACCTTGGTTTTTTAGTAAGTATGATGAAGATAATAATAATTAATACATCATAAAATTATTTCTACAAGAAAATGTTCACATAAATAAAAACTAGAAACATAGTGAACATTCAGCAAATGCTAGCTTTAAATAGATTTAATTAACCTTCCCTGAACTGTGTTGTCTTCATGTAAAATTAGATACCACTTCTTAGAAGGGAAAACTGTTAAGAATTATAAATTACCTACAAGCATTCTTAAATGTACAGTATCCTTATTACTCATTCCCTAAAAGAAAAGAAGGCCTCCCATTCCCACACATAAGTATCCACCATATGCACCTCAGATCTAATCTATATTTAGAATTAACTGTGTCAGCAGCCTCTGTTCTATTTAATTTAAACCCTTCTTCCACCACTCTATCCTTTCTCTTAGTCAATTGCACCTTAAAACAAACCAATTCATTTCTTTCTTGTCTCCATTTATATCATCTTTTATTAAAGGAAATTGAATAGTCCCTATCTGTTTTTAAAAATAATCTATTTACCCGATAGATTCAGGAAAAACTACTAAATTTTTTTGTATCTATTTATTTTTATATTTATATCCTTCATGAGACTCTGAGAGTCATGAGAAGAAAGTACTGAAATACAAAATATTTTCAATGAATTTCCAGAGGAAAATTCATGTTTTTGTATATCCTCTGCAGCCAAAGTATTTCATAGATTTTTATCCTGTTACTGAAGCTTGTGACTGCTCTACTCTAAATGGTATTTCTGTAATAATTCTATAACCTATGCCTTCCTCAACTTTTCTTTAAACATATTCTTTCCATTTTATGACTAACATGAGTTCCCAAATCAGAAACCATAGAAACTTCATAGGTTTTTGCCTAAAAATCCAAAAACAAAACGACACCAACAACAACAGAAAAGATACTAAACTAATACTTTTTTATCTTTGGAGAACATTTGATTTCTATTCTCTAGTTCTAAATCACATTACTCAAACCATATATATGTCTGTTATAAACATGTATCTGGATTTCTCTACCTGCATATCATCTTTTCCTCCTTGACTGCAAAATACTTTATCTCAAATAATGCATCACAAAATAAATAACATGTACTGTTGCTCCCTGAAAATTCTCAAATGATCCTTTTTCATTGCAGTGCTCAAACAAAGAAACTTACCTGGTTAAAATACACAACGGCACTGGCTTTTGGGCATTGAATCCTCTGTGGAAAACTTGGTAATTATGGTTGTCCTATAACAGGAGATTATGAAGGTCACTTGTCTCATCAGGCTTTGGAAGGCCCAAAGGTTCACTGATTATACACAGAAGAGATAAACACATGGAGGGGAGACAAGACTACAACTATGCACAGACATTTGTACATGAAAGCTATAACACTATAAATATCACAGCACTGGTATGGGCATAAAGGGCTTCTATTACTATTTTAGAAAATATAGTCTCTAGAGACAGGGTCATGGTGCTTGGCTTGACTGAAGTACAAAATAAATATTTACTCAATTGAGAATGTTTAAGAAGACCACGATTTCCCAGAGTCTAGTACTTATATACAGATGCATATTAAGACATTGCAAACCTATTCTGAATTGAAACCATTTTATTTCAATGTAGATCCCAGCTAAGAATAATGACACCAAGGACTTAAAATTCGGGATATTTCAAGATTTCCATTATTATTTTGAATGCATACCATCTTATTGGAACACGATTTCTACATGTCCAGTCTCTTCAAGATTCTCCTTTCTATATCCAGTGTTCTTCTGTGCACTGAAAAAGCCTGCAGTGCAGCTGCAGTTTCTTCAGTTAGTGAGGAATTAGATGCTCTCTGTAACAGCCTTGCTCATCTATAGAGATGATGATGATCAAATTTCCTGCCCCTCTGGATTTTTAGCTCCTGATACTTTCTGGTCTACTACAGTAGTCAAATGATAATTTAGTTACTCATATACTTCAGGTATTACTTTCTTCCTGTTACTAGGAAAGAAAACACTTTCACATGCTGGAGAGTCCTTTGTGATTTTCGCTCATGGAAAGGAGTGGATTTAAAGAATTATTTCTTATGATTGTTGATCCTCAGTTTTTCTCATGGATTTATAGCTACTTCCTTTATATATAGCACGTTTATAACACAATTATAAATTTTGTTAGTTGTAAATGCTGCAAGTAATTCTCCCAATTGAGTCATCTGTTAGGTTTTTCTATGATTTCTTTAATTGAAAAAAAAAATAAAAGCCCTTCATTTTATGTAAAGTCATCCCAAATTTGCCTATTATTTATTCTTGGGATTTCCTTTGTATTATTTTTAGATTTTTTTCATACTATATCACAAAGATATGTTAATGCATACCTTTCTGATTTCATATGTTTTGTAATGTTTTTCTTGTCTTCAAAGAAGAGAACTGTTCAATTCTAAAATTCATTTGGAAAAATATAAGAGCCAGAATAAGCAAAGCAATTCTAAGCCATAAAAACAATGCTGGAGGAATCACAATCTCTGACTTCAAATTATACTACAGAGCTAAGTAACAAAAACTGAGTGGAACTGGAATAAAAATAGATGCATAGACCAATGGTACAGAATAGAAGACACAAATAGAGACAAACCCACACACCTGTAGTCATCTGATCCTTGACAAAGGTGCCAAAAACATATTGTAGGAATGACAGCCATTTTTTACACATGTTCTTGGAAAAACTTGTTATCATCTGTAGAAGAAGGAAGCTAGACTCTTATCTCTCACTCTGCACAAAAGTCAACTCAAAATGGATCATAAACCCGGGAATTAGACCCCAAACTGTGAATTTGTTGATGAAGGTTAATGGTTGTATGTTTTCTGACATATGCAGAAACTATAGAAAATGATGATAAAGAAAGGTGGGAGTGGATCTCATGAACATTAAACGGAGACCAGAAAAAGAAAGGAACCAAGGGATGGGAGGTAGAGATGGAGTGGGGGAATGCTGGGGAATGATACTGATCAAATTATATTGTTGCATTGTGTACATGTACAAATTTTTAACAACAAACCCCATCAGAATGTGCAACTAAGACACCAATTAAAAATTGTGTGGAGAAAAAAAGGACAGATGCTTGTGCTGGACATAGTAGCACATGCCTGTAGACACAGCAACTCAGGAGGCTGATGCAGGAGGATTACAAGTTTGAGGCCAGTTTGTGCAACTTAGATCCAGTCTCAAAAACAAACACACACTGAGACCCAGTTTCAAAAACAACAATGACAACAACACACACAAAAACAAACAAACAAACAAACAGTCTGTGGATGTAGCTCAGTGGTGGAGTGCCCCTGTGTGTTCAATCTCCAGTACCCAACTCTCCAAACATCCAAACAAAAACAAACAAACAAACAAACAAAGAGCATTGGGGAATTTTGCTTTTACATTCAGTGTAGCAATCTACAGTGGTCCTCCCTTATGCCCAGTTTTCTTTCAACATTTTTGTTTTCCTATGGTCAACAATGGTATAAAAATAAAAATGAGAAATTCCAGAAATACACCATTCATGAATTTCAAATTATGTATTTTTCTTGGTGTGATGAAATCTTGTTTAGTATTCTTCCATTTTGTAGAATTATATTTTGTCCATCATATCCATCCTATATGCACTGTATGTCCATTAATCACTTAGTGTACTATCCATTCTCAGCTCTACAGTATCACAGACTTGTTTTCAAGTAAACTTATTCTACTTATTAATAGCCCCAAGAGTTGGGCATATTTGGGCATGCCTGTAATCTCAGTGACTTCAGAGGGAGATTACAAGTTTGAGACCAGCCTAGGCAATTTAGCAAGCCCCTTTCTCAAAAAAAAAAAAAAAAAGGCAAGGGGTTGGGGTATACCTCAGTGATAGTGTAACCCTAGGTTGAATCCCAAGTACCACTTAATTAATTGATTAATTAATAATATCTCCAAATTGTGAGAGTAATGTTGACAATTTTATTACCACATAATGTTATAATTCTCCTATTTTATAATTATTCTTATTGTGCCTCATTTGTAAAATAAACTTTATTATAGGTCTGTGTATAAGAAAAAAACATAGTATATAGGGTTCAGTGCTATCTAAACAACTAGGAGTACTGTGTTTTATGTGGATAGGAAAGGACTTAAATATCCTCAAATTGGAATACTTAGTCTACAAATTTGAATGCTTATTCTCTTTATTTTTAATGTAATTACTAGTGTAGTTGAGTTAAATTTTAGTACCTTGAAATTTTTTCTGTATTTATCTTTCTAAATGTACTGGTCTTACCTTTTAAAATTAACAAAATAGTTTTAGTATTCCTTTGATATTCTCTATTGGATTTTATACTTGTTAATTTCATACCATCTGAGTTTTAGATGGTACTCTAAAATCACTAAAAGATTTTGTTATAATATGCAATGAATAAATATTTTAGTATGTTATAAAAACTTAATCACAATAAAATTCCTTGTTGATTTCTCTGATTTGAGACCCGTTTAATTATTTGTATTAAAAGATTAGTTTTCTTTCAAGAAATATGTTTGATAATTACATTGTCATGTTGCTCATTTATTTATGGAGATCACAGGTTGCCAAATGACAACCAGCAAAACATTTCTTGTCTGTAGATTTTTTTTTCATTTCATTTTTTTCTTTTCTTTTTTCTCTTCCTCCTTTCTCTTTCTTCTTCTGTACATCTTGTGAGTTGAGAAAGTTTGTTGCATTATTAAGAATTATTTAATGAAATATAGCACAACTAAAATATACTATAGAGAAAGTATATGGACAGCAAAGTCTAAAATATTAATATATGACCTTTAAAAAATTAACATCACCTGTTTTATGTATTTTTTTCAATTTTATATTACTGGAATTTTACTATAAAACATATCTGTTAAATTCTCTGGTACTACAGTGCTAAGAAATAATTCTATTACCCTTTGTTTATCAATCTTTACTACTTATTCTAAACTAATACATAAAATACAAATGTTGTCCTTATTAATCTGGTGCCAGGTAATGTTTTGGTGCACATACACATTATACAGTGTTTAAATAAATGTTAGCATATCTATCTCCTCATACATTTAGCCACGGTGAAAACTTTCAAATCCCTTCTTCTAGTTGTTTAAATTATACTGTTCATTACTACATCATGGAAGAGGCCAACCATTACAGGAAAGAAAACACACTAATATTTCAAAATTATGTTTTCTTAGTGTCTTGTTTATCTCTTTTGAAGTTTATGGAAAAGACTTTCACTGAATAGTCTCCTTGGATTTGTGGAAATTAAAGAAAATCATCTGGGAGATCCTCATTTTGTCAGGGAAGGCACTCAATTGTATCAGAAGCTTCATTGAAAATACACTAATCCTAAAGGCACAAAATCTTTAGGGAAACTTTAGACTTATTAATAAAGAAGATACGGCAATGAGATTCAGAGATCTCTCCATCATCAATTAGTCCTTAATTTGGCTTCTCAGTAATCATAATCCCACTTCCGACAGTGATCAAGGCCAACCGGGTGGAAGCTTAGCAGATTACTCCAATGTGTTGAGCTTTTCTGTACAAAAGAATCGTCTACAGCAATAGTCCAAAGCAAGAACACTCTCAAGATATAAAAGAACCCAGGAGGAGAGATTTTGTGTGGAGACTTTTTACTGTAGACAAATGGATTTCAAAAATGCAATAGACAATCTGTGGGCCCATATGAGATATAATGATTTTTCAATCAATATTTTAGAAAAATTGGTGGAGGAAAGTCCATATATATGATTGTCCAAATAAGAACATGCAAAGATCCTTCATAATGTTTATGTTTCATGTCTTTATTTCCAGATCTATGAACTATCTATTTGTGTTCTTTATTATTACCTGTACCAAATCTGGTTATTTTTTTCTCCTATGAGAAAAGGAAGGTAGCAACACGTTAAGACACATAATGCCTTTAACATAACCTCTTTTATTGATGCACCATTGGTCTTATTATCCCTTCAGTGACCTAAAACCAGTGTTTAATGTAGTTATATCATCACCATGACCCCAAACTATCTACTGTGTTGCTGGGTTAGGTTTGATTTCTAAAGGCACAACAAGTGTGAGCATCAGAAAGAACCAAGGGCAGAGTTACCAGCACAGGGAGAAGACAAGTGTGTAATTACACCTGAGTGACACCGATGAAAACCTCAGCTGAAAGAGTCATTAGAATGGTGGCTAAAGTAAAAGACACGGCTAAAATAATGCAGAGAGCCATCCCATACACTGGAGACTTTGACTCTCAAATGTTTCTAACCT